GGGGGGGGGGGGGGGGGGGGGGGGGGGGGGGCGGGGGGGGGGGTGGGGGGGGTGGGGGGGGGGGGGGGGGGGGGGGGGGGGGGGGGGGGGGGGGGGGGGGGGGGGGGGGGGGGGGGTGGGGGGGGGGGGGGGGGGGGGGGGGGTGGGGGTGGGGGGGGGGGGGGGGGGGGGGGGGGGGGGGGGGGGGGGGGGGGGGGGGGGGGGGGGGGGGGGGGGGGGGGGGGGGGGGGGAATGGTGCCTAAACTAATTACAACCTCCAAACCAGGGATAGGCACTAGACAATATTTTCAGACTTCTGATGAATTTCTTTAATGAGCCCTTCTATTTTAGAAGTAACTCCAAAAGTGACAGACTAGCACTTTGCTGTGGTGGTTATGCGAAAAACAGACAACTTTAGATCACATCACTGTGTCCTTGTGTGAAGAACATATTACTCAACCAATGATATGTTTAATTTAAAATGCAGTTTAAGAATCCATCTTACCTCTTTCTGCTCTAAACGCCTATTTAATTCATTCAATTCTTTGTCTAAGGAGTCTTGCAGGAGAGTGTGTTCCCACTCTTTTGCTGCTTCTTCTTCCATATCTCCTGGATCACCTGTCAGTGAGTCCGAATCAAAGCACTGAACCACTTGTAGAGTTGAGTTCTAACATGTGAATCAAAAGTCAAGAGAGGCGTACCATTTTCTTTCACAGGATAACCAGATGAATCCATGCTTTGCAAGCCTCTTTTAAGGCCTTCACTTTTCACTGGAACGGCACCACTAACCTGAAAAGATAGATAGATAGATAGATAGATAGAGAGAGAGAGAGAGAGAAGAGAGAGAAGAGAGAGAGAGAGAGAGAGAGGAGAGAGAGAGAGAGAAGAGAGGAGAGAGAGAGAGAGAGAGAAATTAGTTATGCGACTAATCAGGATCCTCTTTTCATAAACTGGACTTCATTAATGTAGGGAAGTTAACATATACTTTAACTTCTGTTTCATATTTCTCAGTGCTAGAGCCTCTTCTGCGGTACTCATTTAGTTGTCTACTTAGCTCTTCATTATTAGCTTCAAGCATGCAATCTTATCCTTAAGCACCTGCAATTGAAATCACGAATGAGTTGATTGTCATCTATTGAAGTATGAAACTTATCCAGGGATCCAATTTAAATTGTAAAAAAGAAGATCTAAGTCATGGACAACCGTAGAACAACAAAAACCACCTGTATTTCATCAGAAAAACCACCCTCCACTACGGGCACGGAGTTCTGCCGCTGCAAATACTCTAGTTGTTGGCGCATCTTCAGCATCTCATTAGACATTGGATCTCTATTAATCTTCAAAATCGTTCAAAGAGAGTCTTAAGATTTCTTTTTCCCACAATAATGGAAAGACATTGTAAGAAAAGTTTTGTTGCAAAAACTTACTACTGGCTTGTTCTGAATATTCCGAGCACGATTTGCATATTTAGAGTGTTCAGAGTTTCGTTCAGCATTTATATCAGCAAGGCTAATGCATGCTGGAAAAATGTAAATTAAAGATAAGAAAAAGTAGGTGAAGTGTCCGCTTGTAGGTAGCAGGACATGCAAGCATCTCAAAGACAGAGAAATAAGAACCATAACTTTGATTAATCCAAGACGATATACATAAACACTGTCATAGAATTCTTCAGCATCCTACTTAAACAATGTTCTTTTCTTGGTCTCTTTTTTAAATGGTAGAAAAAAGACATGTTCACTGGAGATCGAAACAATAAGAGGAAGCAGCTAATTGATATTGAGTGATGCCAGATAAAATACCTACTGAGGACTCCCAAACAACAGGTCTTAACTTCTCATCGGGGTCACATATAGGGACCTACCTAGCCTCTGGCCAAGAGAAAAGGAAAGGGAGCAAAAGTTAGCTAATTCCCCAATTTGCTTCGATAATGCCCAAGTGCCACTGGCTTATCTCTCAAGTGAATCAATATTTGTTAACAGTGTGCCCCATCAGCCCATTACTAACGATTCAAAATATTAACACCACCATGATTTAGCTTAGAATTTAAATTGAGCTCAAAGATTTGTGCTCCAATGTTAGGGCTAACAATCATTCAATCAATCAACTATGCCTCAATCCAAAATTTTCCTCAATCGCAAATTTTTTTGAGTGAATGTAAAAGTCTTATCTCCACTGTGCTCTCTTCAGGTTTATTTCATTCTGATGCAAAATAATATGTCTTCTAACACAAATATGAGTTCTCAAAATCGTACAATTATTCCTACTTGGAAGTACCGGTTTCCAAACAGAAAAAAGACTGCTAACAAACACGAGTAGTGTTAGTGTAACGACTAGCTTTTAATTATAAATTGTTTAAAGGAACAAAAGCAAATTTACAAATGAACCGTTTGGTTACCGGTGGGTTTACGAAGTTTTACGGTTTAGCCTAGACCCTTACCCCCCCCCACCCCCCCCCCCCCTTTCCCCCTTGACATGGAACAGGGAGGCTCTAACCACCTCCTGGCTTGATTTTACAACTCTAAATTTATGGATTAGCATTCACAGACCTAGCTAACCTGCATAGTTTTGTCGTTTGCTGTAGATAGCTGAACTGCCACAATGACACCTCATATTTGTTTATTTCTGAGGCTTTAGAAGTACTAGTTTTGGTATGTCATGTCATGCAATTAATTGTCTATATGGAGTTGGACACGGGAAATTGTTCTAGATTCGACAATTCTTCTGGATGATACCTTGTCTTAAAAATGGTTGCTAGTGTTCCTAGCTGTGCTACATCTGATGATCTAATAATAATCATCTGCGTAATACTGTGCAGTCTGAGATGAAACTTTATGGAGGCTTTGACACCATGGCTCTGAAGCAGCACTTTGGTAAGAAGATTATTGAACTTGAAGAGGAGAAAAGAGCTGTGCAGGTAATTGAGAAAACAAATTGAAGAAATGTAATTTCCACATTTTTGTTTGGGTTGGTGATTTCCTCGTTTTCTGATCCCCTGATGCAGCAAGAAAGAGATCGATTATTAGCTGAGGTTGAAAACTGTGCTGCTAATTCTGATGGACTGTCCCGGAAATTGCAAGATATGCATTCCCAAAAGCTAAAATCACTTGAAGCACAGGTCTGCATTTGTGCCATGTTCTTTAAAATAATCATTTACTTGGGGTTAGAAAAGCAGATAATCTTCTGCTGTGCGCCTATCTCTGTAATTTGTTAAATGTGTATTCACCTACCAGATACAAGATCTTAAGAAGAAGCAAGAGAACCAAGTTCAGCTTTTAAAGCAAAAACAGGAGAGTGATGAAGCAGCAAAGCACTTGGAAGATGAAATACAATCAATCAAGGCGCAGAAGGTTGCGTTACCCTTTGATTTCTCCTGTAAAAGTAACGTCCTTCATAGCACTGATGTGCAAATTATGTTCTGTGCTTTTATAGGCACAACTGCAGCAAAAAATTAAACAAGAGGCTGAACAATTTCGTCTATGGAAGGCATCTTGGGAAAAAGAATTGGTGCAGGTAGTTTGCTGCTACTACTGCTTTTACTCTCTATTCTTCGCCTTGTGTTATGGCTGTCACAATCATTATGAGAAGGAATGATGTTACTACTGCTTCAGAACTATAAGTGTCTATCATAATTATCTTCTCCTAAATACATGCTGTTAATGAGGAAATTGCTAGTTATTGTGTTTGAAATCTTCAGGTTGTTGATAACGCTAGATGTTATCTTTGAATGCAGTTAAGGAAGGAGGGGAGGAGGAATGAGTATGAAAGACATAAATTGGTTGCTCTGAATCAGCGCCAAAAGATGGTGAGCATTTTCCTCTCACTTTATGTTGTGTTTCACTCTTCTGCAGCAGCTTGTTGCAGAGAACTGGAAAATTTGATTATTACACTGCGTGGCTTCAAGTAGTTCCCCTACTAGCAACACGCGTATCAAGCCCACCTTGTCTCACCGTATGCTTTTCAACCCCAAACCTTATACCACCGCATGCATATCAATATCACAACGTATCACAAAACGCAGCTCAAGTGCCCAGTATCACAACTTGCCACGAAACCAACAACAATAGTACTTTCACAATAAATAGCCCATAGTTCAACCACAATATGCACAAGAGTATCAACAATAACAACCGGAAGTGAATAACTCCACGAGAATAGTATTTCAAAACTTAAGACTTTGCCTCAATGTGAAGCACGGCCCTTATAACTCAATACCAATTTCAACAACAAGATATTCCAAGAATAACAACTTCAAGTAAAGAATTAAACGGTTAAATAATGAATATGGAATAAAGGAGCAAGAACTTCGACTAAACATGTAGAGCATTTAACAAGTAAGAGATAAGGCAAGTAGAGCATGTGAAAATAGACTAGTGATGATGAATATAACATGACAAGATAACTCAATTAAGGCATGAAAAAAATGTACATAGCTAAAACCGATAAATTTCCACATTTAGCCTGTGTACGGACTCGTCACCTTGCGTACACGGCTTTCACATATCACAATTATCACAAACCTACACCAATCCTAAGGGGTAATTCCCCCACACAAAGTTAGGCAAGACACTTATCTCAAAACACGCTAACTCAACCCACTAGTAGGCCTTTCCCTCGTTTATACGACTCCGAATGGATCGAATATAGCTAAAATAACTTCATACCATTAATATAAGCTATAGGAAACTATTTTTGAACAATAAAATTACGATCTTTGCAAAGAAATAAAAAGTCAACTCAAAAAGTCAATCGGGGCCCGCGTCTCGTAACCCGCCCAAAATTACAAAATACGAACACCCATTCGATAACGAATCCAACCATACAAGAATTACTCAAATCTAACCTCAAATCGCTTTTCAAATCCCCAATCCTAAGAAGTTTCACAAATTTTCCCCAAATTTCCAACTCAAAACACTAATTAAATGATGAAAACAACAATAGATTCATGAAATATAGTCCAATCCGGGTTAGAATGACTAACCCCAACGATTTCCTTGAAAAACTCTCGAAAAATCTCCACAAACCGAGCTCTCTAGGTCCAAAATATGAAAATGAAATTCTCGAAGACTCTTTTTTTGCCCAGCGATCCTCGCTTCAGCGGGCCTGTGGTCGAACCTGCGACGCCGCACCTGCAGAAAATCCATCGCAGGTGCGGTTCGAACTTAATTCCTGAGGTTCCGCTTCTGCGGACAATTGCTCGCACATGCGAGCCCGCTTCTGCAGAGAAACGACTGCATCTGCGGTCCTGCCCAAGGCTGCTCCCCAAATTCCACTTCTGCGAAGGCAAGCCCGCTCCTGCGAAGGCGCACCTGCGCCCAAAAGTTCGCACCTGTGAGCCCAGACCTGGGCTGCCTCATTTCGCTTTACTCCATGCGCTTGCCGACGAAATTCTGCCAGAAAGTTATCGGTGGCGCGTGAACTTCAAGAACTTAGAATCCGGTGGGTTTCTTCAGATCGGAGGGAGGCGATTCCCCTAGATAGGCTGTGACTGTTACTTCAAAAGTTGGCAGAAATTTCGGCGTGGCAGTGGACAAATTCCGGCAAGGCGGCAGACAAATTCCGGCTAGACAGTGGACAAATTCCGGCGAGCTACAAGCTCGGCTCTGATACCATGTTAAATACAAAGGCAGTGGAGCAATCTCCTTATAGTATTATTCCAAGAATGAGAGCTATTTGTTGGTTTACAAGTAATTCTATCTAAGGAAACAAAACAAAATCAGAAAATCCCTAAATATCTCTACCTATGATTATGCTATGTATACTATATCAATTTGTGTCTATGTACATTCTGTAACACTCTGTAAGCAACTTATGCATTCTCCATTACTGATCAAGCTCACTTCCACCATGGAAGCAGCTTCAATCTAGCTCGTAGCAGTAAATTCTGATTCTCTCAAGTGTACTGAAATACGCACCCTATCAACAAATGTAAGTTAGACAACGATAAGAGTCAATATGTGTGTTAATGATTTCTTGAATTTACATCAGGTTCTCCAACGAAAGACAGAGGAGGCTGCAACGGCAACCAAGAGATTGAAGGAGTTGCTAGAAGCACGTAAATCTTCAGCTCGTGAAAACTCAGGTCTGCACTTAAGCTTTAATAGGATGTCTTTGTTGTAAGTTACTGGTGTCTCTGTTACTATGAAGATTATAAAGCATCAAACACTTGGCTCACTGAATAGGTCCCATTTTATAGTAAGCTTGATTTTACAAGTATAACTTATTCTACTTACTAACGATGATTTTATCGAGAAAAAGAAAACTTAATAATCTATTTAAATGCAGCGACTGGCAAAGGAAATGGAACAAATGGACAGGTAATAATCTCTGTTCTCTTTTCTGCTTTAATGAATTTTTTTCTTGTTCTATTTGATCAAATCATTTAGAGAAGTTCTTATTACATTCAGAGTTATGAGAAATCATTGCAACGTTGGCTTGATCACGAGCTTGAGATTATGGTGAATGTTCACGAGGTTCGGCATGAGTATGAAAAGCAAAGTCAAGTGTATGTAATTATATCTGTCTTTCGTTAGTCTACTTGTTTTCTGTTTATAGTTATATTATAAACTTTTCCCCAGTTTTATGTTTATTCATTGCTTTCTCTCTATTCCAGACGAGCTGCGTTGGAAGAAGAGCTAGCTGTTTTGAGACAAGTTAATGAATTTGCTTCAAAAGGACTGATCTCTCCTAAGGGAAAAAAGGGTCTTTCTAGGTACATATACTAAACTCATCCTTCTCTTCAGCTGATAATGGATTCAGAACTACTGGACAAATGTACCCTACATGCATTAACCGGGTTGAATTAGTTTATTAATTTTAATGTCACCTGGATTATATCCTATTCACTGTCATCTGTTCAGGGCATTGTCAATGTCACCAAATGCAAGAATGGCAAGAATTGCTTCTCTTGGGAATATGCTTAGCATTTCATCCAAATCTCTAGTTGCCATGGATTCACAACTTTCGGAAGCAGAAGAACGAGATCGTGCCTTCAGCAACCGGGGATGTTGGAACCAGCTACGTTCCATGGGGGATGCGAAAAATTTACTCCAATATATGTTCAGTTCTCTTGCGGATGCAAGGTATTTTCCTGATGCATTTTTGAGCTTTCTTCTATTTATCTCTTTATCACTTCTCTCCATTGAATTAACAACCTATCTTATAGTGCGCGCATTCCATTGTCTCAAACATTATGAATTCTATGGGCTGAAGCTTCATAAGAAGTAGAGATAGGGGGAAATGGCAAAACCGAAATTGAAAGATTAGTGAAGTTATCTGAAGCACTACCAGGAGATCTAATATTGTGCTTTGAAGTAGATTTGAAGTGTGTACTACTAAGGACAAATACTAAGAGTTGTCAGTCCAAAAGGATTTTCATGTAGGTGAGCTAGGGAGGACAATGGTCATGAGACTGGATTTCAGTGAGGATAAAAGCCATTTCTTTACATTGAAAACCACATCCAATTTCTGTTATGATGGTTTGAAATCCCTGTTTTGCAGGTCATGATAGTCGAGAACGCTCGTGAAATAGAGAAAAAAGTTACACACTGAGAAGGTCTCCTTAGGAAATTAATGCATAATATACACCAGCTGACCATATCAATATTATATTTGTGATGATTGTTTAAGGTTTAGAAGGCTTCGGAAACTTGACCTCCTCTGTAGAAAAGAATATGTCATTTACTTTTGCTTTTGTCACAACAGCCTGTGGGAATTTATTTGTTTTAACTCTCACTTTTGCTTTATGCAGGTGCCAACATTGGGAAAAGGAGCTTGAGATCAAGGAAATGAAAGAACAAATGAGAGAACTAATAGGTGTACTGCGACAGAGTGAAATTAGGAGAAAGGAAGTCGAAAAGGATCTGAAAGTGAGAGAGAAACCCGTTACAATATCATTAGCTTCATCAGCTTCGGTAGAATTTACTTTCTTGCATTTCCATTCCCTGCCTCATGCTTTTAGTTTTCTACCTCTTTTAGAGAAAACATGCAAGGATCTTAATCAAATATTACTGTTTTCAAAGATTTGTCCAAATTAAACCAGAGCCGCATTATCTTTAGATAAATATATGATTTGACAATATAATTTTTTACGATGACCCATGTTGACGAGCAAACTCTAATTAATATTATCAGTATTATATATGTCCTCGACGAGTTTTCATTCGACAACTATCAATAATAGTATCATTACTTACAGTTTTAAATATCTTACGTTATATATAGCAAGCTAAAAATTATAAAAAGATTCTTCGTCCATCCTATTACGTAGATCTTTTTATGTACTTCTATATCCATGTAGATATGTGATTTGCATTATTAGTTTTTAGTTATAGTGGGAGATTAAGATTAATTTTATTATCTTTTTCTAGTACTTCATTTGTTGAAAATATTTAAACACATTTCATGAAACATTTTAGTGAAAGATTTCTTTTTAAAGAATAACTTAATACCGAGTAACCAAGAAAGAAGAGGAAACAATAAGAAAACAGAAATATTTTTAATTAAAAAGTTTAAGGGAGCAAGTAGGGATCGAACCATTAACCTTGGGGGCTAAGTCGCACTCATTTCACCCACTGATCCTAGTGCTCACCTGAGCATGGGCTCACACATGCTTATTTAAGAAGAAAATCAGAAAATACAAGTGTTATACATAGTCTAGGGAGCGGAGCATGGGTTCATATGAACCCACCCCCTCCCATATAGATCCGCCCCTAAATGAAACCTTTCCGAAAAACTTTATTTTGTGCCTCACACAACTGACACTAGTTGTGTGAGGTCTCTTTTTTGTCTCGCAATTTTGTGGACCCAAAATTTTGTGATCAAAAAGTGTAAGATATGAGTCCACTACAAATTTGTGAGAAAAAAGAGGCCTCACACATCTAATGTCAGTTGTGTGAGGCACACCATAAAACTTCTCAACCTTTCCTATGTATTATCTGGTTACTGAAACTGCCATTTTAGTAAATAAAGCTATTAGAAAAAATCCAAATGCATTTATTCTGGTTTTGCTTTTTATTTCTTTTTCTTCTGCTGAACACTTGAAGTATTGTTCTTTCCTTTAACTGAAATGTTGAAATACGAAGCAGGCTTATCCCGACAAACACTTTGTGGATGACACAAGTGGTCCCTTGTCTCCAGTCCCTGTTCGGGCACAAAAGCAGCTCAAATATTCGGCTGGAATTGCTAGTGCTTCGTTCAGAGAGGCAGCAACCTCTATCGATCAAACACGAAAGGTTTCTCTCGCGATCTCCTTTTCTTCTTTGGCAGTTCCTTTAATCACTTAGCACTAGCATCACGCATGGCTGATAGTGTACTCTTTGATGACTGCAGATGGAGCAACTCGGCCAGTTGTCAATGAAAAAACCGAAAGCTGCAGGACAAGGTGGGAAGCTATGGAGATGCAAGAGAAGTCATCATCAATGGCTATTACAGTTCAAATGGAAGTGGCAAAAACCCTGGAGACTTTCGGAATGGATTAGGCACGACAATGAAACAATGATGAGGGCACGTCATCGTAAGCGGGCTCTGCCAAGTCACTAACTTCGGTGTGCAAACTATATATTCCGCTTTGATCTCTCTCGATCCCCAACACATCGTACAGAAAGGGAATGGAAATAAGTGCAGGTAATGTTAATCTATTTTGAGTTAAAATTATAGGGTAAATTTCTTTCCTATGTTGCGCGGACTCTCCAAAATACTGCCGCACCCGTGTCGGATTCTCCAAAAATACACTGCTTTTGGAGAATCCGACATGCACCCGGCGATATTTTCGGAGAGCCCGAGCAACATAGTTTCTTTCTGCATATCCTCTGGGCTCTTAAGATAGTGATACTGTCTTTGCTACGATAATTTTAACATATGAATACATGTTCGAGTGACTTAACGAAATTGATATCATGATATTAATAGCAATTGATTAAGAAGTATCTTAACTTAAAGTGTCTGACCTTACAGCCACCCTTTTGCATGATAAGAACCAGATAGTATTAAACGAATACTAACAAATAATGATTTTTTTTTAAAAAGTTCAAAAGTAGCAATAAAATTCTGGAAATTCTTGACCAAGTGAAAATTTCAGAGGCAACAAAGTCCTTGAATCTGCTATAGAAGGGTCAAATTGCCTACTCATAGATACCAATATACTTCAATAGATTCTTATCATTTTACTGTATTATCTTGAATCCCTTTCTTTTTCATAATTATTGGCATCTACAATAGGGGATTCTATTTGCAGGGTGCAGTTCAAGTGGCAGTAGGGAGCATTTTGTTTTAGATATTACATGATGTGGATTTTCCGAGGACTTATATCTGATCTTGAATTTTAAAGATCGGTCATTATTCATCAGCTGTATGTTGTGAATACATGTTGAGGCTACATACACGCGCGTGAGTGATCACAAAACAATATTTAGAAGGTGGATATGAGTAAGTTGCTGGCAGAATTTCAGTTACACAACATATCGCCAGTCTGTGTATACTTTTTGGCAAATACGTTCATCTTGAAAGATATTGATCTTGAGGAGCATGTGCAGATATCCTTTTGAGTTTTTGTATCATTTATGGCAAATTTATGTAAATGTGGTATATCTTATGTAGTACAATGTTGATTTTGTTTACAGTTCTTAACATAGAGAGAATTCTTTAAAGCAGAAAACTTAGTTTCTTATGGTCCACTTTTTCATTTTACCCTTAGGTGTTGTAGGTAATAGCATTTGGTATGATGAACAGCTGGTTCAAGAATACTTACTGTTTTAGGAGAGTGAATTTGTTCTACTCTCTCTCTCTCTTTACGCCACTGGTTCATATAGTCTAGAGTTTTGGACAGCTTACCATCAACAAGTGATTAATTTCTTGGAAATTTGGTTTGGGTTTAAAGTTTAAACAATATTACCGTGTAAAGGTTAAGACTGTTACAAGTGGTGGTTATATATGCACACAATATTTGTTGAACTATTACTCATTCATTATGTATCATTCAGAAACAAAAACATACAAATTCACAAGCTAACATTGGTCACGTATCAATTATATTAGATGATATCTCAAACAGCAAACGGGGGCACTACATTCGGCGGAGAATTGAATGCATTTTTGTTTACTCGTAAAACGGTACAGTTTAATTTGTCACGTGATTTATAGACAAGCGAACTGATTTAATCCAAAAATGATAAATAAACTAGATTAGAAATAAGACTTAGCGATGAAAACCAAAGGAAATGACAAGCTTGGCTCCGAGAGCAGTGCCTCCGGGGACATAAATGAGAATAATATAAAGAGCAAGTAAAGTTATTTGATTTAGCTTGAGAATAGAATGTAGCATAAGTTTTGCCAAGAATTTCGTGTCTTACAATGACTGTTGAGTCTACTATTTATAGTTATATCTAGGGAAACAAGATTCTAGGATCAAGCCCCTCTTAAATGACAATAAAGAGGGCCATTGATGAATATGTAACGGCAGACCATGAATGCAAATATTCTCTACAACTGCTGCCCATTTAACGCTAGGGAATATTCTTAATTGAATGCTATCCGATGGAAAGCATATGATTCTGCTCACGTTGATCATATTCCCTTCGGGGTCAGCCCGATGTCAATTGCACACGTTTCCGATGCTGGTTACTATGCAATTACTTTCTAGCTGTCTTCGGTTCCACGTATCATGTTGCCATTTGATCATTTAATGTAAACCAATATTATCCTATACAGATAGCCCCCTTACTTTTCGGTGGCATATCTTTGTGTCATTGGAAAGTTGGTAAAGATCCCTTTCTTGGCGGGAAATCTTCTGAAAACCTTTTGAACAGCCTCTGACGCTTGAAAACACACGTCTTCTCGCATTTAATACCCCGTACACGTGTTGCCCCACGATTTAGCAATATTTTCGACGGTTCTCAAAGTAATCATGACCACGATTTCTGCCGTCTATGTCTATGCCTATGCTCATCATCTTACCTCTTTTACTTCCAAAATTTTCATCAGTTTCTTACCTTCTTTGCATTTAACCTTCTTCTGCTTTCATCTCTCTCTGATTTTCTTCAAAAAACTTCATCATATTCTTACTATTATGTCTTCTTTTACTGAGTCCTTTGAGAACTCTGAGTTTCTCTTCACCGGAGGCCCGAAGAGAAGCAAAGATAAAGAGGTTGATGTCGATGCTGATTCTCTCACGGTAAGTACCATCATACCCGAATACTTGAGCACCGTTAATGACTTCTAAGAGAAGTTACCCTCTGTGCATCTACAGACTTGGGCTGTTAGCAGGTATCCTTCCTCTATTTGCCCTTCCAGTATTCCTACTATAAAGGAGGACTGTAACTGCGCAGATCTTAACATCATTTCTCCTAACCTGATAGAGCAGGTCACCTTCACCAAAGGAGGTTTTATGTATGTTTATAAGTACCCCTACACCTTGGGCCCGTTTTCTTTAAGCGGGGCACTCGACCCCCTGATCTTGGAGTTATGCCATCGACACCAGGTCTACTTGGCACAAGTAGGCCCCTTTGTGGCAAACAGTGGCTTTCCTACGCCGGTTATATGCGGAGACTAGGAAACCCTAACCCTGGCACACATGATGAATCTCTATTCCCCCAAAATCTTCCGTGGGGGAGTAATAAATTTCAGTAAACGTGGTCACCACGTCCTACATACCAGCGTGGATGATGACAATGATCGTGGGTGGATGGAGCGGTTTGTCATCATTGCTACTAGGGATATCATCCCGGCCACAACTCCATCCTTTCCTGAATATGGAGTCGTTCACGTAAGTTTTTAATTTCTTAATCTTTTTCATACGTAAAAATGTCGCTTCTCGTCATTGTTGACCCTTTTGTCTTCGTTATTTTAGCCACTCGGTGGATACCACCAAGGGTTGAAGGCATGCACCAATGTGTTCAGAATATTATGAATATATTATAATGCCAGAAACCCATCGGTGGAAGGAGATGGCCCCCAAATATGGGTGGAAGGCCAAGAACCATGATAAAGTGAGCCCTTCTACTTTCTGCCTCTGTATATACATAAGTAAACTTGCTAACCGCATCTTTTTGTTTGATTCGGGGCTCCCGCTAGTCTCTGTCACCTGCCCCGAGGTCGAGGTTTTGTCCCATCCTACGGAGGTTGCGAGATTGTTACAAAGTGCCCTCACTCGAAGTGGTGCCCTCGGGTCTGCTTCCGGTGGGAGCACTTCCTCTCGGAGTCCCCAACCAGAGAACAAGCGACCAAAAAGGCGACGTTCTTCCTCGGCTGGGGATAAAAAGAAGAAAATAAAGAAGGCCACAACTGAGCCAGTCGAGGCCACAATGGTCATTGAAGATGACGGGAAATCTAGTGATGATGTGGCTTCCCTTCAACGGAGACAATGATCTTCATTAGCTTAACTGAATATTTAACCAGGGGAGCTTTTAGAACCGACCGACGAAGACGCCCAAGCAATGTGGGGCGACATGGATCTGGTAGATAATGCCAACTCCCGCTATCCTATCCTCGTTGTTGTTTCTGGTCCAAGGAGTTCGGACCCCATGCCTTTTCTGCCTTCGGTTGATGAGCAACCAAAAATTAGTGATGCTCCCGTTGCAGCTGCTTCTCATCCTACAACACCAATAACTTCATGTCCCTCTAAACCAGCTGCACCTTCGCCATCAACATCTGTTGAATCTCTTCTGCCGGCCACAGACGCCGGAGAGGAGGGTGCTTCTCCTCCCCAATCTCCTGACCACGGGAATTTGGGGCACAAACACTCACCCCTTCTCCAGATCCCCGAGGGAGGAGGAGTGTCACTCAGTTTCAAAGGGGTGCCATATGCTGTCCAGATCAGTAGAGCTTGCAAACTACCTGAAGTCGCTGGATTCAGAGAAAGATAAGAAGAAGATGCACTTCCTTTCAGGGGAGTGTATGTTGAATAATGCCATGCACAATGAGGCAGTGGTACAATATTTGTTCTCTTACTGCTTGTTCTTTACTTATCTGTTATAACAGGGTTTCTGACTTTGATATATGTTTTGCAGGCCAACTTCCTTACTTCTGGGGCCTTCACAGATTTATCCTTAATAAAGAGAGGCTTATGTCCGAATGGGATCAGCTATTAGCTGAAAGGAATCAACTTGCTGTGCGCCTCTCGGTGCTGGAGGCAAAGGCTGCTGAAGCGGCCGAGCTTGAGGCCCAGTTACAGCAGAGTGAGCTGGAAGTGAAGGCCCACAGCCAAGAAGGCAGTTAGCTACATGCACAACTTCAAGATGCTAAGGGTAGGTCGGCCGAGCTTCAGGATGCTGTTCTTGCTGCTACCGAGCGCGAGTCTGCCTCCATTGAACCGGTGAATAATTTGGAGGAACCCTTGAGCTCCTAACCGAGGAGGCTAATGCTACCGAGGATAAGTGGGCCCAGATGAAGGAGATATTCAAAAAAATCATGGATCAAAATCGGCTTCACTTTCCCATAATCCGTGATCTTGATTATAGCCTCATTGCCACGAGATCCGAGAGGGCCAATCTTTTGGCCGAGGTTGACAGACTTAAGGCAAAGCTCAAACACAAAGGGGATTCCCTCGTCTTTGAAATGACGTACACTATGTATTCTATGAGGAGAAAAACCTTGGAGAAGGCCAAAGCGGGCATCGTTGATATTGATGATGAAATCGCCAAGGCCCGAACATTGGAGTTAACTGCTCGAGAACATCTCCCGACTAAGCCTAACGCAACTGACTCTTCGAGTATTGGTTGCGAGTATTCGGGAACCGAGAAGGAACTTGAATAGAATGATGATGAAGGCCCAAGTCCCTAACCGGTGGCTGATCCGCCCAATTCTTCCAATTGGGGGGGGGGGGGGGCCCC